TTTAAATTGAACATACGCTTGTATTTAAAAACAGAATTATTGCTTATTGTGGATTAGAAAGGATGTATATAAAGAGGCTGCAGTGGCGTGTTTTATGTGACAATCCACAATTGTCTGGAGGTTCTGAGAAAAACTACGAAACTCACACAATGACCGGTCTCAGGATTACCTACATTAGAAAGTGGGACAGGACTGCCAACTGCTACGTTATTTAGACGTGTAAGTAGAATTAATCTGCGTTTAAATTACTTAGAAATGGAACAGTTGCGATGTTTTCTATAATATAAAGGAGAATAATGGGAGTTAGTATGAACCAAAGAGAAAGCTCAGTTGCGGCTAAGCAAAATAAATTATGGACAATTTAGCAAGAAACATCCAGAATAATTAAACCTGTGACAGGATAAATATGGAAGATTCGACGCAGATGCACAAGATAAAGACGTTTCTGCACGTAGGAGAAGCCGCGAAGGAGATTTAGAGGTCGGTACAGGCAACGTACTGCCCGGTGCGTGGAGAGAAGATCCTGATACCAGAGCCGACTCAGTCAGAGTTTTCGTTATTTCTTGAGCGAGAAATTACGAACGAGAAAGGAGCCTTCCAATTTCTCTGGTGCTGTTAAATAACGAGCGCATCAAAATTGAGTTTATAAGCAAGAAATCTGTCACAAACCGCTGCTGCTATTTCCTCCTAGCACGGCTTCAAACCTGCGCCCAGAAGATCCTGAAGACATTCAACCCTTTGTCTGACCCTCTGTTAGAGAAACGAGACGTTTAGACATCACTATTTGGAATAGTGTACCAAAACGTCGAATATTTATAACCACAAAGCTAGTTTCCAGTTAGTTAGGTTAAACCATTTAAAACGTTTCCGTAAAGTTTCCCAACCAAAATTCTGTTGTGTTTTCTTGTCTCTCCCATCCTAGCTGCGCGCACAGCCATCAGAACATCTTGCATTCTGTGCAATCTGCCGGAATTCAAAATGTGGATTACTTTTAACTGCTTGACAAAAACCACTCACGTGTCTGGACCTAAGCCCGTCGGGCTTTTAATTTTGGGGTTTTGTGCCTGGTTAAAAAAGAGAGACCGGTCTGAAGGAAATGAAAGTTAGAATCAGTGAGTTAGTGCAACGCGTCACTCCGGGCGCGGACATTGGAGTGGCGTCAGCGTGGCAGGACACCCGCTGTGAGCTGAGAGTTTTCTTTCTCCGTATTTCATACGAATGGCTCCTGGCATTTCTCTTTGGTTATTCTGTGATTTGTTAGTGTCTTTATTTATTAAAATTCAACTCGTACTCTGCATGCAATTTGAAGCCAAGGAACCTACAAGAATATGTGGAATTAACACGAAGTATTAGACAAGTTTGGAATGAGTGGGCAGTGTTACATAATAACAAGATTTGTAAATAGAAGACCCGGACATTTTTTTCTCGTTTTCAACGACCGCTGACGCGGTGACCCTGGGAATCTGTTAAGATGAATTTTATAACAACTTGACTAGAAAGAATTATCGACAAGGAACAGCGTTGAAAAGCTGTGAGATTGTTCCCAAACAAGGCTCAGACGTTGCAGTACCTTGCGGAATCGACTTCTTTGCTACATTTTTTAGATTCTGGAGGTAAATCTGCAAATCTCGTGGTTTACAGACGAGAGTAACAATTTCATGCGGACGTCGCCAAGTAAAACGCATGCATGCTCCACAGAAATCGGCGTGAATCAGGCTAATAAATGCTCCGCGTATGTCAAGAGGGCAGTGCCCGGTTGTTGCATGTGCGATGACAGACTGTACCAGCCGAGCCCGTGTCTTTCAACAGATACACAGAATTAAAATGAGCTGTTTGTATTTTTGGAACAGCCTGTGTTTGTCTGCTTAGTCACCCTGTGGGCTGACGACAGCATGCGCATCGCTTAATCACAATTAAACCCTCAACGATATCCGAAAATTGTGTTATAATAATAGGTGTGCAAAGTGGAAATGCCACGGATGGATGGTGAAGTCCTGACGCCCGTTCTCCTGCGTGTCGCAGGAACGCAGATGGCGCGCACTGCGCAGGTCTGCTTCACGCATTATCAAGGGCCGCTGCTTGCAAATAGGATCTCAGTGACGCAATTATAATCGCACCGCAGATGTCTCACGGGCTGCCAGTGGCGGCTCGTAAATTCGGCCACTTTTGCATTTCCCCAATTAAAATACCAACTCCGATATTTTCTGTGTGCATTTGTGTTAGCAGCTCAAAAACATGCGTGAATCTAACACAGGAACGCGTTTCCAATTCACAGTGTCCAATGGTAAAAAATACAAAAATGTCTCACTCAGTTGCAGGATTTTCGTTCTGTTCGTCCGCCAATGAATCAGTGTCGCTGTTGAGGTGGTGGAAGGTACAGGCGAGGAGACGGTGCCTGCCTCGGTAGCTGTCGGTCGGTCACGTAAACAATCGATCAACCAAGAAGTGTTGAGCTGTGCATCATCTTCACGTCTTATTAATAGCCACGGTGGTCTAGCGGTCAGAACACGAGCCTTGTAATCCCGGGTTCAATTCCCGGTGGTGCTCAGATTTATAACTTGTGTTGGGCAAGGCCGTGGTCTAGGCAACACGGAGTTTTCCTCCGGGGGCTTCCCCGGTTTCTCCGTGGCATCCCAACAATTACTCCATTCACACACAGAAGAAGGCAATGGCAAACCACGTCTGGATCATCTGCCAAGAACGTATATGAACAGGTCCCAGTCCGAGAAAAGGATGGAAGGATCCTGTTCATATGGACCTGTCGTCAGACAGAACACTACAAAGAATTCTAATTAAGAGTGTATTTCTGTGAACCAAAATCACCATCTGTGGTTCTACAACCCAGTGTGGGTCTTGGCCGCCTCCTTTCAGAGGTTTCTTGATCTATTAGACATTCGTTAGGACTCCTTGGACGAGTGATCAGCTCGTCTCAAGGCGTCTACCTGCACGCGCGGACAGACATCCATGCCTCGAGTGGGATTCGAACCCACGGCCCCTGTGTCCAAGCGCACGAGGCCCGCGCCACTGTGACCGGCGTAAATGACAGTGTTGAAACTTGTTCACCCTCTGTATGTTAGTTTTCGTGTCAGTTTACAAAAGCGCGGTATCTCCGCGGACTTTGTCTGAGGGATAATTGTTTTTATGAGCTCAGGATCAAAACTGATGTCTAAGGACCGAAATTCTACAGCACCCACGCGTGTAAGCGGAGTTTGCAGGAACAAACAATCGCAGTTAGCCCATTGTAAATTGAACCGGTCTGCATTTCTAAAGCGTTTTGCCTTCATTAAATATCTTAATAAAAATGCTAGATATTTACGTATTTTCCCCTAATTTCTTTCAAGTTCCCGCAGAAGGATCATGACGATAATTTTGCTAGGCTGACATTAATACTCGCGGTCGGTCCAGAGACTGAGGGAGAGTTTTCCTTCTTATTCTCTGTTTGATTCCAAATTCCTCACGGATGATTGCTGGGTTTCGCTGAGGCTCTTATAATTTTGAGACCTCAATCGTCGGAATTCTTGTCTCGATTTAAAATTTAGCGTTTGGTCAACTGTAATCAAACAATGATACGTGCATTTCCCCTAAACCCAATTTTCCAATAACTATAGCTTAGCGGGGAGGAAGTTAGTTTCATTTTCTCTCGTTTTACTCAAGCACGAAACAGTAAGTCAATCTGAAACCGCTGCTGGTGGTAAAAACGTCCAGCCAGAGTTGGCTTTTCTCTGCACACGAGTCATTTTCCAACTGACTGATACGAGTACAAGTTCTTATGAAATCTTGGATTTTGTTTTGAGTTTCCTACAGTTTGAAGCTTTTCGAAAAGGTCTACTTCATTAGCATACCTTGCGAGCAGTCTGCGACTTCAAACGAACGTCCAAAGGCGACGAATGTCAAGCTCAGGGGTGTATAAGTGTGCCACGGGTCGCAGACTGAACTCAGCCATGATCGACGTTGGTTTGCCACTTTCAATAGAATCTGCGTCACGAGACGTGCGCGGGAGAGCGAACGTTTTCAAAGTTACATCGCGTTGAAAAGTGAAGATGGATTTGTCGTATCGCCTAGCAACTGCCGATATCAGAGGATGAAATAAATGAAAATGGACGGATGAACGGCGTTCTGAGGATTCTTCGAGATTCACTCCTCGTGAGAGAAATCAACATTTAAATAATTAAATAGAATATACAAAGATGGCAAAGTTGCGTCATATTGTGATATAATAAGTATATATTAAATCTTGTCCATCTAATCACAATAATTCTTATTAAATATTAAAATATTACAATAATTAACATTTAAAATATTTAAAATATTAAATGATGTTCTTTATCGAAATATTCGATTTACATTAGACCATCATTTTTCATGTTTCAGTTCCTAAAAGAACCATCCTCAGGTGTATATAATTATATAAAGCTTCAAAACGATAAATAATTCAAATACAATTTAAATGTTAATTATTGTAATATTTTAATATTTAATAAGAATTATTGTGATTAGACGGACAAGATTTAATATATAAGAATATACAAAGTTTCGTTGACACCAAGACTTGTACATTTTGTGTCTCGCCCGTCCCACTCAACATTTGAAGCTGCAGTACACGAAATGCGTGGTATGTGGTAATAAGCTTTCGAAACATGCCTTCCTCAGGTCGATATCTGCATCTGCAGGGTACTCACCGTGTCTTCTTCTTCTTCACACCATTGTTATCACTCTTCTTACTTTTCGAGTCTCCTTTCTTCGCCGTCTGCTGCTCCGCGCTGACTGCAACACAAAACACACGCCCTGCATCGCCTGTCAACACGTATTAATCCCTTTTCTAGTCTTAGAAATTAGATCTTGGCAGCTGCCAACTCTGGAGCAAAGCTTCAAATGCGTTTGTGCCTACCTTGGTGGTGCATGGCGCCGGCGTCCTCGGGTTTCCTCTTGACACCGCCAGCCCCCAGGTGCTGGTCCGTTGGCTGAGCGAACAGCGCGCCCATGTCGTCCATCTTGCCCAGCACCATGTCGGAGTGCTGGAGCCCCAGCATCACTTGGATTGAGTGCACGTTGCCACGGGCGTCCGCGTGCGCCTTGGCGCTCAACATGGCGCTTGTACCAGATCCGCATCCCGAGAAATCGGAAAATAAATTGTCATCGAACGGACCCCCTTCCATTATCGTCGGTTCCACCGCCTTTAAAATAACTTTCCTTTGCGCCAGAACCAAACACGAGCACACCTGCGCTTCGTTTCCGGTCAGAACTTTATATTCATCAAAGTTCCTGAGTCAGTTCTTAAAAAAACGTTTCTTTTTTATATATATGATATTTGTTAAGTTATAACACGAAATACTTTTTAAAATTAAGAGTTAAGTAAGCACATTCAGTTAAAATTCTGTCTTCTAACTGAAATTTCCGCAAACTAATCTCGTTAATTAATAATCTCGTAATGACCCAACATGATTTAATCCAATAAAACCATTTTGTAACCACTAATAGACACTCGCGAGAACAGAAGAACAGCGGAGCGCGATTTCGTTAACTGTCTAACCTTACCCTTCATTTGGAATTACTGTAGTATGTCTAGGTTATTTTCGCTGATTGCTTTTAATACAAATTAAGTTAGAAAGTCTCACACACCACTGCTAGCTTGTATTAAACGAATCGCTGGATGTTTCTTTCAGTTAATACACGCTGTTTGCGTGAATTGATACTAGTTAAAGTTTGTTAAGCGCTCACTAGATTTTCCTGATTGTTCACAATGAGATCTAATAATTCTGGCTCGCGGAGGAATACACAGCTTACGAGGAAAAATAAGGCCCCACAATATTAGTTCACTTTCGTTTAATATAGAAGATGAATCTTTAGTTAGTGAAGTTCGTCCGTGAAGTTCATATCCAATTTATATTAACTAATAGACTTGGGACGTCCCTCTGCCCCAGGCAAGAACCAATCACATTCAAGTCTCGGTGTGTAATGGGGGTGGAGTTTCGCTGGTGGGAAGCAGCCAATGACGTGGCTCCTACCGCTGTAATGGCACCCAAAGCAAGAGAGCGTTGCCACAGAGTTACAGAATATTTTCCTTTTTTACATGAAATGAACCCACAATTCGGAATTTTGTCTGAATATTTCAAATTTAAAAATTGCTGGACTGATTTCAGAGGCAATATTTAAGAATGTACGACGAATTTAGAAATGACGTTTATGAGTGCAAATTATGGTGATCCAGATTCGCTCTAAATTCGTATTTAGTTGTCACATTTATTTCAAAATTGATTCAACGTCCAAAAGTATGTCCACAACACAAATTAAAGGCTTATTTATAATTTAAATCCGCAACTGTTTTAAGAACAAATAATCCCTACGCTTTTTAGGATAAAATGGGGTTAGCTCTGCATCCCAGCGCATTAGCAAGTTTCCTCACCAAAACAGTAGAAAAAGGCGTCTAAAAATAATGATTGGATTACTAAAGGCATCAAAACATCTCGAAAACGTAAACGAGATTATTATCGAAATTGTCAGTTTAGTTGAAACGAAGTTTTCGAAATTCACTCAGGAAATATTGCAAGACGCTTACTCAAATTAATAATTTTACCATAAACCATTTAGTCTGAGTCTAAACCTATAATTATTGCAGATAATATTTATATTATTATTATTTCACACCCAGAAATTGACTTTTTCCAAAATTTGCATGAACGATGTCTTTGCTAGCTTTAATAAATGGACTAACTAACTAACTAACTAACTAACTAGATGGCTTACCGAACCCGAAGGTTCATCACCGAATTAACCAAAGCCCTCCACCGGACCCTGTCCTGGGCCAACAAAATCCAGTCTCCTACTAACGCCAGTATATTCCATATAATTTTGTACTACCAATATAAACATTATATATTAAATCTTGTCCGTCTAATCACAATATGTTAGTCGAAGTAGGTTAAACCAAATAAAGAATTTGAAACATCTAAATATCTTTTCGTACAAATTTACAATAACCTAAGTGTAAAAGGCATCTTAATTATCTCTGGGTGAACAGCACAAAATGAAAAGTCATCACGTGTTTACAGATGAGTAATCCAAGGAATGTGAGGTCATTAATGTCTCAGTGGGACAGGAAATTTGTGTGGGTTAGGGAACTGGTAGCCCGTACACAGGTTACAGTGCGCGGAACGAGGAAGAATATGCAAGAGGAATCAAGACAGTTGCGAGTGGATGTAGAGAGGGACAAGGCAGGTTTCTGGTCGTTGGATTAAAGTCTGTGTGACGAGAGAACACCGCCATTAGAGGTTGTTGTCCGCAAACCCCCGCTTTGAACGGACGCACGGATTGACTGAATGAACAGCCTAAACTCCAGGCTGCTTCAGCATCAATAATTGTAGTTCGTTTAAGTTAAACCTTCCTGAGATAATCGCGAATTAGGCATTCAACAATGCAGCATAAGGTAGGCAATTGTTGTCTGCTATCAGAGGCTCCACACTTTCTCTGATAACGACTTTTCTGTTTCATTGGCTGTTGCGGGTGCTTTGCCCCGCCCATGGATTCTGCAGATGCTGAGAAAGCGTCTTCGTGATGGCTCTGTAGGCCAGTAATTTGTTTTAGGCAATTCGCATTTCGTCTTTGCTATTAAATCCGAAAAATAGGCCCATTTTTTTTACACTCGGACTTAATGTTCCTTGTAATTTAAAAAAATTATGAGTTTTTGTCTAAATTACATAAATTACTTAAACACCTATTTGCAGACTGCAAACGTGATTTGTGAGGACTTTCGGAAAATTGCTTTTTGTTTCCTGAAAAGTTGTTGTTTTGACTCTGAAATGTAATCGTAATCAGAGGACATGGAACGCGTAACCAAGTTTCAGGTTTCTGGAGGACGCATTTGAAAGTAAATGAATTGCTGCTTTCGGTCTTCAGTTTGCACTCTCGATTTCTACCAGAGACGTCTTTTTAATGTTTTTGAATTAATCGTGACACCGACAGGTCGCTTTTATTATAAATAAATATTCTTATAATACGTTTAAGGGAATTTTGGTAATCAATGTGTGACGTAAAGAACAAATTTGTGGTTCGGAGGACAACAGAGAGATGCGACAGACAGAGAGACAGACGCCAGGAAGTTGAGTCTCGAAATCGGTACCGGGTTGGACCTAGTCTGTTGGGCAAAAGGCCCCGACGGCTGCTCGATCAAGGGGCTTGGCTCGGGGTCATGACCGTGAACGTTGAAAGCCTCTGAGGAACCCTGGAGATAGGCAAAAAGGGACACAAACCACTGGAAGTAAGCGTGGGGCAAATCCCGAGGAATAGGGTAAGGCTCATGGGGCAAAGCCACCCTTAGGAAAGGACGCAAAGAGGGCACATCTTCCTGCCGACCTCGAGTCAAGGTCACCCTTGTTGCTAGGCCGCTGCTCACGTCAGATGTGCAGAAACTGTGCAGGTGCGAACATGGCGTATTTGCGAGCAAAACGTGTGTTCATTCACTGCTCATCAAAATCGTTTGCTGCTGTTCGTATAGCATTTAGCGATGTTTATCCTGACAAGGAAGTACCGAATGTTCGAAACTTTCGAAATGGAAACCCGAAGTTCTGTTTCAAGCAAACGCCAAATCCACGATAAACTCGTCTTGTTCTTTCTTGTACTCGCAGATTTTCTGCGGAGCATTTTGCTCCGTTACTTTTACCGGAATTCTGTCTCCGACGATGATAAAATTTGTTTCTACCATTTTTTCTGCTAGATGCTCTCTAAATGTTTCGAAAACCCTCAAGGCTAATTTTCGAAACAGGACAGACAAATGTTAATAATTTCCCACGATTTTCCTCGCGACATTACTTTTACGATGCGCTATTTCCAATAAATACGCGGTTGTATAAGTTTTGGGGCATCTTATTAAATAATTATATATTAGAACAAATTATAATATTCCCTAAGTAGTCTCTTCAAGACGAAAATGTTTTCCTGTTTGCGAGAAACTCGCTGTTGTCGAAGATTTTTTGAGAGCCCTTTGCCTGAGTTTCGAAATATAAATTCTTCATGTAAAAATGCAAAAAGCAAATTTAAACAAAATCTCTGCCTGGGTACTTGAGGACGTTTAGGCTTGAGGGGTGACGATAATGACCCGTGAGGTTGTACACGCATTACCTTCACCGTGTCTGTTAATTCTTCCGCCATTTCCGGTCTTAATCGCGTGAAAGAAATCCTGAAATATTCTCTTACGCCCTCTCATCGTGTACTCGTGTTTTATTTTATTCCTTATTCTTGTTAGACCTTGAATCCGTTTGATCTGGGACAAACGCCTGAAGCCTCTAGGTTCCATTCAGGGTACGTTCATTGTTGAATTGCTTTTGCAGAAGTCGTTTCTCCTCTTTGAACTGCAGAGAAGTTGTGTACCGAAAATCACACATTTTAATATTGCCCACACACCAGTTACGTAGTCATTATTTTAAGAGGTTTTAATGGCGGTGAAGATTTCTGTCTTCTGGGTTGTTGCGCCGTGTAGTCTGGTCGATGTTTACCAACGTTTCTGAGGTCATACTGCCTCCATCATCAGGGCGTGTGTAGTATGCAGTATGACCACTGAAACGTTGGTAAACATCAACCAGACTACACAGCGCAACAACCCAGAAGACGGAAATCTTCATACTCTGATGACGGAGGCAGTATGACCTCTGAAACGTTGGAAAACATCGACCAGTCGACACAGCGCAACAACCCAGAAGACAGAAATCTTCATACTCTGATGATGGAGGCAGTATGACCTCTGAAACGTTGGAAAACATCGACCAGTCGACACAGCGCAACAACCCAGAAGACAGAAATCTTCATACTCTGATGATGGAGGCAGTATGACCTCTGAAACGTTGGAAAACATCGACCAGTCGACACAGCGCAACAACCCAGAAGACAGAAATCTTCATACTCTGATGATGGAGGCAGTATGACCTCTGAAACGTTGGAAAACATCGACCAGTCGACACAGCGCAACAACCCAGAAGACAGAAATCTTCATACTCTGATGATGGAGGCAGTATGACCTCTGAAACGTTGGTTAACATCGACCAGACTACAGAAGACAGAAATCTTCATACACACCGCTGTGAAAACCTCAAATCTTACACAGAAGATTCGATTTTAAGCGGCTTTCAGATTGAAGTTTCAACGCTCACTTGACTTCCTTCATGGCAACGTCATTCTTAGTTCTGTGAGTCAGGAGTTCACAAAAAGCGGTCGGCGGTCCGAAGTAGTTTCAGGTTTAACTGGAGTTCACATCCAGTTTTAAAGCTTTTCTGACGGTTATTGTGTGCCTAACGAATTATAAGACATTTTATATCGGTAATTTTCAAGTCTGATTCGAATGATAAAACGTAAATTTTTAACATATTCCTCTATTCCTAATTGCCTTCGGGATTTGTTACTGTGCACTCTCATTTGTGTTATAAGAGATCGCTGTTTGATGGATAAGACGAAGTAAACAACTAAATTGATTTCTGTTTGCGATAAGCTAAATGAATACGAATGCCATAGAGCAGCGTTTCTCAACCTATGGCACGTTTACCACCGGTGCCACGCGAGCCAATGTTGAGTGATACGCGAACTAAGTAAGAAAATCAAAAGATAATATTAACATAAATAATTTTTCCTTGAACGCATTTGGTTATTATTATTATTTAGTGTTCTGTCTGACGACAGGTCCATATGAACAGGATCCTTCCATCCTTTTCTCGGACTGGGACCTGTTCATATACGTTCTTGGCAGATGATCCAGAAGTGGTTTGCCATTGCCTTCTTCTGTGTGTGAATGGAGTAATTGTTGGGATGCCACGGAGAAACCGGGGAAGCCCCGGAGGAAAACTCCGTGTTGCCTAG